AGCCGGCGGGCTGCGCTGCTGCGGAGAGAAGGAGGCGCCGTGCCCCGTGGTGCCTCGCGGCAGCTCTGTTTTTTAGCTTCACGTTGTGTTTCTCCTGAATGCCGTGGCGCCGCCAAAGCCGTCTGCGTGGGGCGGGGGCGGAATGAATTTCTTTTCGTGCGGCTGCGGGGCGCTGCTGCGTGAACTTAGCGGGCTGCCGCCTTTTTCTTCCCTCCCTCTCCCTGCCCTCACTCTCTGCGCCGTGCCCCACCGCGCTCCCCATTTCTCTCTCTGTTTCTTCTTCTTCGCTGCCTCGCAGCCCACTGGCTCTGCTGCGATTCTACTGCCGCCACCACCACCACCGCTGTTTTTGCCGATGGCGCTGACGGTGCGGCGCCGTGCGGTGTGCGCCCTGGCGCTCCTCGCGCTGCTCTGCGCCTCCGTCTGCGGGGCGATTGCTGAAGGGCCTGCGGCCAATGTGAATGTGTCGGTGGAGGTGTCGTGCCCGAACACTAACGACAACAAGTTGCGCTGGCGCGTTGCCGGCGAGAAAACACCTACTTGGAAGGAGTGTCCTCAGGCAGTGAAGGGTGCGGGGGGCAGTGAAACCGGCGCTGCTGGCAATAATTCCCTCTGCATATTTGCCGGTTCGGTGTTCCTGGAGAAGTTCCCGACGGGGACGTGCCCTGCACCCCAGCCAACGGAGGGCACAGACGCTGCTGCGTTCACGATGAACTGCACGGCGGCTGCAAACAGTGCGCTGCACAATCTGTCGAAGGGCCAAGGTGGCACCATCAGTGCAACGGAGGATCCACTGGGCGCGTCAGGCGATTGTGAGTTCCCAACCCCCAGTCAAACACCGGCCGAAGTGCAGACTGGATCCCAACCTACAGAACAACAGCAAACGGCTGGACCACAACAACAACTTCCAACACAATCGTCGCCACAACAACTGCCAGCACCTTCAGCTCCTGCCAAAACTGAGCAAGAGGGCAATCCATCAGGCGTCGGTCGGTCGGTGCCTAAAGAACCCACTGCTGCTGCCGGACAGCCGGGCACCGCAGCGGGCCCCACCGGAAGTCAGGAGTCATCGGCAGAAGGTTCTCGGGAAAATACAACGCCGTCGGTTGGCACTGCGGCTTCGCCAGCAGCGGCGGCAGGAAAGGCGGCAGATGGAACCACGACGACCACCACCCGCAGCCCGAGTGCTGGGAGCCACGCGGACAGCACTGCCACCATCGCCACTGCGTGGATGCGTGCACCATTGCTGCTGCTGCTGCTCACGGCCGCTATTGCCTGCACTGCTGGGTTATTCTGAGGGGCAAAAGTTTCACATACGCGCACACACCCTCGCAGGGACGACGCGTATTCTTTGTGCGCTCATTTTGTTTTTCGTCTCTGCGGGTTAATCCTATTATATCCCTCTTCTGTGCTCTGAGGGATGTTTTTCTTTCTTTTCTTTTTTTGTCTTCGCCACCCCATGCACGTTCTCACGGGCGGCGCACCCTTTTCCCCCTCCTGTTTGCTGCCGCCACCCACACACACGCGTTGCCGGCCGCATTGCTGTGCGGCGCACGGAGTGCC